GATATTAATTTGTTTAATTCTGTGGCACCACCTGTAAGAGAGAATAAAGAGTGTGTCCTGGATCAACAGGTGACGGTGGTGTTTTTCTGCTGTGTAACGGTTCAGGGTTCAGTCTGAAGCAGCAGCAGCAGCAGCAGCAGCAGCCTGGAGTCACTTTGTATGACTCATCCTATTCTCCGTGTGACACAGCAGCCCTTAGTCCAATCCTACAGTAACTAGTGGCTCCAAATACCAGCCGGCCATCGGCTCGACACGACGACGACAGCAGCATCTCGTCCTCGTGCTCTTTTATCTGCTGACCTTCTCTGCCAGGAGCCTCCCAATTTCAAGTTCATTCGGTTTGTCTTTGCATCAGGATCATCCCTCAGCACTTGACATTATTTGAACCTTCGCCGTGTCGCCGCTTCGCCTCAGCATTCCTCCGACTTACCGGCTGACTTTCAAATCACCTTCAGAGGCAGCAGCAGCAGCAGCAGCAGCCCAACGACGGCCGGCGTCGATTTAGAGGAAAGTTATTAAAAGTTTGTGAGAAAAATCTCTTTTTTTATTATTAAAAAAAAACATCCTGCAATTTTATCTACACTTCAAAAAAAATACCTGCAAATATACAATTTATCATTCAGAATACAGGGCTGGATGCATTAAATGTCTTTTTATGATATGACTCATGTAGTAAATGGACTAATTCTTAAGCAATGAAGCGGTGAATACACCCATGCACCAGGGTGGATGTGCATCATTTAAACAACAAGCTCCTTTTTAAACTTTTTCATTCTAAGAATCACTCAAAGCTGATTGAAATCTGCCTTCTTATGCTGTCAGATCAGATAATTTGGTCACCTTGTGCCCTAATGAACCTTTAAGAGGACAGCGGAGGGTAACGCTCACAGTAACGTCATTAAGTTTGATCAAACGCTGTCTAATGACGACCGTTTATGTGCAGCAGCAGCAGGTTTCGCTCCAGAAATGCACCAGCATCAGTTTAGGGGGAAGTTATTAAAAGTTTGTCATAAAATTGTTATTTATGATTAAAAGAAACCATCCTGCATTTGTTTTATACATGCATTAAAAAATAAATTCAAACCACAAATGTGCAATTGATCGTTCAGAATTACAATCAGAGTTTATATAATATGCATAAAAATATGTGACTTTTTACAACGTGATGTTGTATCGTAAATGGACTCATTCTGCACAATGATGGTTTCTTCTCCAAAAAATGTAACAGCAGCAATTTAGGGGAAACCTACTGAAAGTTTATAAAAAAAAAATTTTTTTAAATCCTTTTTGTAACAAAAAAATAAAAATAAAACAAGAAATATCTTTTTTTCTAAGTAAAAAAAAAGAATTAAAAAATTCTGCAATTTCAGTTTCTACTTTTGAAAAAAATGTAAAAGTGCTACTT